CCCAAAGACATGACCTAGACCTACTTTCCAATCTCATACGCTGTATACTACACATAGTGCAGTATAGTCATCCAAGCAAGTCTGCACGCCAATCCAAATCGCTATCAGCTGCCTGCGAGATTAAAGGCGCCGAGAACGTCTGCCAGCACAACTCATCTCCAGCCGCCCCTTTCCACTGCACAGGACACCCGGCCAAGCTGACCTGTCATATTTGTGCTCCTGCTGTAAGAGCCTCAAGGCAGTAAATCGTGAATGCTTGGATATCCATGGGCAGAAGAAACTGTTAGCAGGTGCAGCAGTGCCATGAATCACCTAACCAGATGCCAAACCCAACCGTCCAGAAGGAGGTTGTCTTCCAATGGACTGGGACCGTGACGAAATAGTCCATTTACTGCCTGATAGAACAAAAACATAAATCTGGAGTAAAATATATTTGAGTGAGAGGAAGAAGCCACACCTAAAAGTAATCATACAAAAGGTATTAAAGGCAGTGGCCTGTGACTTATGAATTAGCTATATCACCTAACTAAGACATGCTAAATTGCACTAAAGGCAAGCAAAACAGTCACACAATAATACTGGAAGTGAGACGACTTAGGCATGCCTTGAGCTTTATTTGGTGCAGCTTGATGAATCAGGACCATTGCATGGTATTACTGTTAACCTACTAAAGTAAACCCTAACCCTTTTGTATATAAAATACTCACAAAAGGGTGAAGAGTTTGGAGCAGGCAGGAGACGTGAACAATGTAGGACAACATAGCCGATTTGGTAAAATTCTCCAATTCAGCTCACTTTCCAGTTCAGCGATGTTGCCCTAGATTGTTCACTTCTCCGGCCTTCTCCAACCCCTTCACCCTTTTGTAAATAACCCTGAGAGTGTTTTACATTTATTATCCTGTGTTGCTGATCTTCTGCAGCCTTTTTGCAACCACTCCTCGCCTACATGCATGCACTGCAGCAACTACTGCACGTCCTTTCTCAGGACGTGAGGACGTTTCCTGATGGTGGCCACCAGGGACCTGCAGTCAGGGGAGGCAGAGCCTCACCTAGTATTATGGAGGAAAAAGCTGTCAGCTTCAAGTCTGAAGCTGACAGCTTTTTCTCCATTCAGATTCGCTTGTAGCAGGTTACACAGCAGGGAAAGGCTGCCCCTCTGTGTAACCTGTCATGGACGGAGCGCTGCCTGTTAATTACAGGCAGTGCTGCATCCGGATTTTGACAGGTAGTTAGGTTACACAGCAGCGGGATTCCCCACTGCTTGTGTAACCTAACATAGTGAGGCAAGAGCTGTCGCAGCCTCTACTCCGTGTTAGAGGCATGAGCTCTGTGGATGGTTTGGACCAATGACAAAGCGCCATTGGTCTGAGCTGTCCAATTAAAAAAAGAAGAAAAAAAACCCCGCTGAGGCCATCGATCTCGATGCCTCAGCAGTGACGAGCAAGTGAGGGACAGGGAGGCTCCTCCCTGTCTCCTCCCTCCTTCACACTAGCTTGGGGACCGGGTTGGGGGGCAAGGCTTTGGCGGGCTGAGGGCGAGGCTATGATGTGATATGGGGGTGGCTTCGGCGGGCTGGCAGCGAGGCTGGGGAATGCCTCACCCGGAACCAAAGGTACGGCACGTCACTGGTGGCCACAGCGGAACATGCCTGTGCAATGTTCACTGGCTGACCACTTGGAGTCTCGTTTGGGAGAGCATGTGACAAGGTGACAACATGGGAGAACAACTGGGAGACAAGAACAGAGCTTTGTCACCATTTAACAGGAAGTGCCTGAACCTTTATGGCAGGATCACGAAATATTATTTTGATGAAAGCTGCAGATTTAAAAATAATGAAAATGACTTTAGAGGATATGAGATTTAGGTGACTGGGTTTACTTTAATATTAAAGGAGAACTATGGGGTCAGGGCTTTTCCCCATAGTTCTCCTTAGTGTAACGGGAGGACACAAACTAGCGTCCTCCAGTCACCCTAGGCTCAGTATACCGCGAGCTGTAGCTCCCTGTATACTGAGACGCCGCAGCCGGTTATTAATTTTTTGATTTGTTGATATTTTTTACTTTTTGATACAATTTACAAAGTATACATTCACCATATTGTAATTCACTAACCAGCCATGTTGAGACACTTATAGTGGTACCAAGGAATTTTTTAGGTATAAGCATTATACCGCTACCACGGTAATCCTACACAATTAGAGTCACCACAGAATAATTTATATACACTATTTAATCAACAACATATGTTTATATATATTTATTTATAGATCACAAACTAGCACGATTTTAAGTACTATCTATTAATTTATCACATAGAATTATTTATCACCATTTTCACCGTATATAGTTTGACATTGTGTTTAATGACAATTAAACCTACCCCAAAACAAAGAGATCCACCAACACCGAGCGCAACATACTAGTTCATTTTGCCCGATTTATATCAACACATTGGTGCAGCTGGTGACAAAATATAGCTACTCCTAGCGCAACTAATTGATTTGAATAAGGATCGAGAGGTGAGCGAACGCCGGTATGTGTTCGCTCACCTCCCGATCTACTGAGCCGACCTGTGACAGTCTCCTTGTCGCAGGTCGGCTAGAACTATGAGGTGAGTGAAAAGCACTCGCCTCATAGTTCTCCTTTAACGAATAACCAGTGTGGCTGCTCCATTGCTATTTGGTGAATCAGGGGCTAGTCTATCCCAAAGGAAAGAGTGCTTCCATTTGCATCAGTTCAATGGCCACATGAAGGAGCATATTTCCCCCAAGTCTTTTAAAATCTGGATTAATGTTATAATGCAATGCTAAATTATCTCTGGCGGTGGCCATTTTGAATAACCTGCAGTCTAAAGTCACCAAGCACAATCCAGATCTTCCAACTCTGCTGTAGAGTCATGCATTTAAATAGAAGGTGCAAACAACCTGTTGATTTTTCCACTGCTGGTTACTCAATGATGACAATATCAATTATAAAAAAATAAGCGATTTGTATCTGTTTCAAGGATGTAGGCGCAGGTCACCAGCACTCACAAAGCCAAAGATGTCAGAAGATATACTCGTGAATTTATTGTCACAATTACAGCCAACATATCTATAAAGAATGAGTCAAGGCAACTGGACTTGCTGTATTTTTCTTAAAGACGTTTCACTGGTCATCCCGAAACGTCTTCAAGGAAAATACAGCAAGTCCAGTTGCCTTGACTTATTTTTTACAGATATACTATGACCTGGATGAATGAGAACCTTCACAGACAATTACAGCCAACGTTTCGGGGGGCCACACAGGGCTTCCTCAGGGCAACATAGTGAGGAAAAGGAACCCTGCATGGCCCCTTGAAACATTGGCTGAAATTGTGACTGTTGAGTATATCTTCTGGTGACCTGCGCCTACATCCTTCAGTATGCACCGCTTCATCCGTGTTATCACTCCGAGCACCGCATTAACTTCAAGGTCTACATGCGCTGTATGGAGTGCAGGTGACCCACTACAACACTGCTTGTATATGTTTCATTCGGATATTCCACAGGCTGACATGCAATAGTATTTAATGAAATGATAAAATTAGACAATTTCTTTGGTTTTAGGGAGCCTTTCAGGAAGCAAGTGTTCACACAGGTTAAAAAACAAAGTATAAACCCGAAAAAAGTGCCTAAGACAATATCAGGTGTCACAAATGGCGTCCGAACCATTGTCAATGATATATATGGAGCTATGCGATGACTTGTTGCATCGCCAGATAACGTAACTTCCATCATCCTTCCTACATGCGCTGTATGGAGTGCAGAAAAAGCAATAATGTCACCAGCACACCAAAAAGATATTAGCAAAAATCCATTTAATGACAAATTGCCATTCAATACCACAGAAGCGCTTTCGGGGCCTCAAGGGGTCCCCTTCATCAGGCTCAGAATGAGCCAGATGAAGCCTGAGCCTGATGAAGGGAACCCCTTAAGGCCCCAAAAGCGCTTCCGTCTCGTCATTCTGAGCCTGATGAAGGGGTCCCCTTGAGGCCCCGAAAGCGCTTCCGTCTGGTATTGAATGGCAATTTGTCATCAAATGGACTTTTGCTAATATCTTTTTGGTGTGCTGGTGACATTATTGCTTTTTCTGTGTTACTCACGGTGCCGTCCGTGGTCACTACAAGCACCCACCTGTTTTTACGGGTTTACCAATGTTCCGGTAAGGAGTGCAGCGAGGCTTCTATTTCAAATATTGTATGGAGTCCAGGTGACACACTACAACACGGCTTGTATATGTTTCATTCGGATATTCCACAGGCTGACAACAGTATTCAATGAAATGATAGAATTAGACAATTTCTTTGGTTTGGGGGAAACTCTCAGGAAGCAACAGGTTAAAAAAAAAAAAAAGTATAAACCAAAAAAAAGTGCCTTAGACAATATCAGGTGTCACAAATTGCTTCCGAACCATTGTCAATGATATATATGGAGCTCTGCGATGATTTGGTGCATCGCCAGATAACTTAACTTCCATCTCAAGGATGATGTTCTCTGTCTAGCAAAATCCACACAATGCTTTTATCATCACACACCACACAGCTGCATCAAAACCATGAAACCCTGGGTAACCCGGGGGGCTTGTGGAAGAAAACTCTGTACGGCAGAATAGCTGAGAGTGTGCTATCAACAGGTCCATCATCACTGGATACATGCATACTTGCATGGTCTGATCCCAGCAGCTGAGATCACATAATGGAAAGCAGAAACATTTTCATTGCATGGTCATCAGCACTAAATGATTAATTGAATCATTAATTCTTTGTTTTTCACTTTGACATCCTGTGATCCTGCTTCTGTGGGACTACAAGGCCCAGCATGGCCACTGAACACCCAGTGCCTTGTAGTTCCAAGACCACAGAACCACAGGAGCTGTCTCATAAGCTGATCCATCAACACCAGCAGATGTGGTCCTGATGAGATGAGCTGTGCATCATCTCCCAGCACACCTGCATCACGCAGCACCAGGGCATGCCCTTACCACATTGCTCATGAAGTCAGCCTCGGTCAGGTCCTCCAGCTCCAGGAAGGGGCTGTGAAAGGTGCGCTCCTGCGGCATGGTGACTCCCTCCATGGTCCCAGGGGTCGCTGGAGATAGTGTTGTCAGGTGTCGCGGAGCTGGCGATCGGCCATGTGCTCTGGGGCCA